GAGGTCAGCCGTGTCCCCCGGGAGTACGTGCACACTCCACTCGGAGCGTTGCATCCTCTTGGGCGCGTGCACGCGGCGCCTCTCTAACAGACATCTGTAGAGCTGCGGGCTGGGCGACACCCAACACATTTGCAAGGTTTTACAATCTGCGAGTGGAGCCGGTTTCCTCAAGGGTATTAGGTAACCCTTTGGTGATTGAGGAGACAACTCGGTAGGGTGTTGAAACACGCTTGCTGCGCCATTCTCCCTAACACGGAGGTACGTGCGCCTTTTTTATCTGTCAGTAAAGTTCCCCGTCAGGTGAGCCCTGCAGATTCCTCCGTGGCCCCCAGCACTGACTCAGCGGAGGAGTCACTTGCTGGCCCACTACGTTGTAGGTCTGCCCGCTGGTCAGCCCGCGTTTTGGGTATAGGTGCCTGCTATGCGTGATCCCCACTAGGCGATCCCATATGCTTATTCCGCCACGGTTAAGTCCCCCCCCCTGGGCGGACCCGTGTCTTCCCTCTCCGCTAACCACTCTTTGCTATGCGTACTCCCCCTTTTTAGGGCTAGTCCATAGGTAAATTCTGCCATCTATCCCCCCCTTGGGTAACGGATGGCCTCCGCAGCGTCCTCCCTATCGGGATTGCACGCTTCCCAACGTACTGTCGTATCTAGATGCTCACGACTTCCCAAAAAATATATCTAAATCCGTAAAACTTCTGTTGAAGTAGGATAAATTAGGGCCAGGGACACGTTGGAGGACCGCGCCCCCCATGATGTGGGTGCGTCACGCTTGCTTGACTATCTCCTCATCGGGGGTGTTGGTAAGGTGCAGTCATTATGGCGCTTTCCATATTCTCCCATTCATGGCACTGAAGTTCCCCAACCGAAGGGGAACGTTCGAGGTTACAGAAGTAACCCTTCGTTCCCCGAGGAGGGGAACGGAAGTGCCATATTCCGTCGCCATAATGACTGTCCCTTAGCTGTTTGAAAGTCTCTTCAGCTTAAAAGGATGGCGTCTGCTGGCTTCAGGTGTGCTTATATGCTGAGATGATTGCAGATGTCGCACACCTGCGCAAGCTTACGCTGCCAATTAATTTCATTCATTGGCCCGTTCAATACTCTCCAGATAAGCGGCTTCTGATCCGAATCCTCCCATTCATGGCACTTCCGTTCCCCTCCTCGGGGAACGAAGGGTTACTTCTGTAACCTCGAACGTTCTCTGACAGGTCTCTTTTGGGGGAGAGTTACCACTGATCACATCGTTCTTCCCTGACAAGATGTGCATGATAATCACAGTTTTTTTTTATTTTATTTCAATTTCAATTCAAATATACAGTCTTACAAATATGTGTAGTCCCACTTTTACTCTAGAAGCTACTCTTCATATATTTGCTTTAAGAGAGAACCCTTTTGTTTTTAGACAACAAAAAACAAATAAAAAATTCCTTAGTATGGTGTAGGACTCCTTTACCAGCCAATACAGCATCGATTTGTTTTGGTAATGACGGATACAAGTTCTGCCCAGCGGCCAAAGGGATTCTGAGCCACTCTTCAGGCAGAAAAGTAGCCAGGGGACTATGTGATGCTGGTGGAGGAAAACATTTCCTGACTCTGTCCTTCAAAATACCCCAAAGTATCTTGATAATATTTAGCTCTGGTGACAATGCAGGCCATGGGAGATATTCAGCTTCACTTTCATGTTCATCAAACCACTCTGTCACCAGTCTTTCTTTGTGTAGTGGTGCATTATTATCTTGATAAACGGCACCGTCTTCAGGATATAATGTTTGAACCATTGGGTGCGCATTGTCCTCCATAATGGTTTGGTAGTCCTTGGCCATCAAGCACAGGTATTTGAACTAGAATATACCATGATATTGCAGCCCAAACCATCACTGATCATTGACCACTGTCCATGCTTTACTTTGGGCATGCAACAGTATGGATGGTACGCTTCTTTAGGGTTTCTCCACACCATAACTCTCTCTGTGGAAAATAATATGAATTCATCAGAGAACAATACATGTTTCACATTGACCACAGCCCAAGATTTTTGAAACCAATGTTCAACATTGACATGGGTGACCATGTATATTGACCCTGTGGAGCTCATGACAAACAGTTTTGGTGAAAATAGGAGAGCTGAAGTGCACATTTAATTTAACAGATGTTGATGCAAGATGTGCACCAACAACTTGTCCTCTTTTGAACTATGATTTGCATAATGTTGCGTGCATTGGAATATTTTAAGCAAAACTGCTATTACTCTGCTAATTGATCCTTCACACTCTGCCACAGGTGAAATGTGAAATCAATGCAGATTGGCCACAAGGCTGGTTAAATTTAGCCATGAAACCTCCAACACTAAATTGGCTGGTGTTTCAATCCAACCCACACAGCTCAAAAAAACTGAAGGGAACACTAAAATAATATCCTAGATCTGAGTGAATGAATTATTCTTATTAAATACTTTGTTCTTTACATAGTTGAATGTGGTGACAACAAAATATCAAGTTTATTAACCCATGGAGGTCTGGCTTTAGAGTCACACTCAAAATTGAAGTGGAAAAACACACTACAGGCTGATCATACTTTAATGTAATGTCTTTAAAACAAGTCAAAACGAGGCTCAGTAGTGTGTGTGGCCACGTGCCTGTATGATCTCCCTACAATGCCTGGGCATGCTTCCAATGAGGTGGCCTCCTCCTCAACTGAGATGGTCCTCTGAGAGATCTCCTCCCAGACCTGTATTAAAACATCCGCTAACTCCTGGACTGTCTGTGGTGCAATGTAGTGTTGGTAAATAGAGTGAGACATGACATCCCAGATGTGCTCGAAAAGAGTGAGCCAGTCCATAGCATCATTCCCTTCCTCTTGCAGGAACTGCTGACACACTTCTGCCACATTAGGTGAAGCAGTGTCTTGCGTTATGAGGAACCCAGGGCCAACCCCACTGGCATATGGTCTCATAAGGGGTCAGAGAATCTCATCTTGATACCTAATGGCAGTCAGGCTACCTTTGGCGAGCAAATAGAGGGCTATGCCACCCCACACTATTACTGACCCACTGCCAAACTGGAAAATGGAAGATGCTGGAAGATGTTGCAGGCAGCAGAATGTTGTCACATGTGCTCAGCGAGAACCTGCTTTCATCTGTAAAGAGAAAAGGGTACCAGAGGCGAATTTGCTTTTCTGGCAAATGGCTAACATCCTGCATGGTGTTAGACTGTAAGCACAACCCACACCTGTGGGCGTTGGGCCCTCATACAACCCTCATGAAGTCTGCTTCTGACCGTTTGAGCAGACACATGTCCATTTGTGGCCTGCTGGAGGTCATTTTGGAGGGCTCTGGTAGTGCTCCTCTTGTTACTCCTTGCACAAAAGCGAAGGTAGCAGTCCTGCTGCTGGGTTTTTGAACCCTTACGGCCTCCTCCATGTTTACTGAAGTACTGGCCTGTCTCCTGGTAGTACCCCATGCTCTGGAAACTACGCTGACAGACACAGCAAACCTTTTTGCCACAGCTTGCTTTGATGTGCCATACTGGATGAGCTGCACTAACTGAATCTACAGATTCAGTCTCATGCTATCTGTATATAGCAAAGGCACCACCAGCATTTAAAAGTAACCAAAACATTAGCCAGAAAGCATAGGAACTGAGAAGTGGTCTGTGGTCCCCACCTGCAGATCTTTTACTTTATTAGCAGTGCCATGCTAATTGCCTATAATCTCCACCTATTCCATTAGCACAACAGCATTCAATTATTTTCTTTTCGGCTTAGTCCCTTTTATTAATCCGGGGTCGCCACAGCAGAATAACCGCCAACTTATCCAGCATTGTTTTACGCAGCGGATACTCTTCTAGCTGCAACCCATCTCTGGGAAACATCCACACACACTCATCCACTACGGACAATTTAGCCTACCCAATACAACTGTACCGCGTGTCTTTGAACTGTGGGGGAAACAGGAGCACTCGGAGGAAACCTACACGAACGCAGGGAAACCATGCAAACTCCACACAGAATAGCCAACTGACCCAGCCGAGGCTCGAACCAGCGACCTTCTTGCTGTGAGGCGACAGCACTACCTACTGCGCCACAGCATCGCCGCACAACAGCATGTGAAATTGATTGTTAATCAGTGTTGCTTCCTAAGAAGGAAGTTTGATTGACTTGGAGTTACATTGACATTTTTGAGCAGTGTATGATGAATAAAAAAATCTGCAACCTCTTCCTAAAATTTCTGGATTTTTCCTTTGAAAATCCTTACATAATACTAAATATGGCCACATTCGTACAATAATAATAATAAAAAAATAATTCAAAAATAATTGTGAATATAACTAGGATGTGTAAACTTTATGCATTTAAGATGTTATGCAGATGTCAAAATAAAAGTAAATACTATTATTAAAACATTAATTATTGTTTAAAAGTGCTTTTTTTTTTCAAATCATGTAAAACCAGTCTAATAACCGGCAGATTCTAAAAACTTGCTACATTTCACTTTTCTTTTCTTAGTCATTGGCTCATGCTGTATATTATTGTATTGTCATCGCTGTACCAATATTGCAAGTGCCAGTTTTTTTTTTTTTTTTGGTAATGCTGAACACAGCTAATATTACTGTAAGTTGTTACCTTTTCTGCAGACCTTTTTTTTTTTTTCATTCTCCATGAAAGTGGGCTGATATTGCCAGAAACATGTGTCTGCGGAGGTGTTAGTCATCTGGATTTATTTTGTTTTTACTGTCTGCTTTGAGACCAGATACCTAATATGTGCTCGTCTGCAGTGAAAGTGTGGGCAGGCAGGAGACTGTCTGTAACACCTTTTTATTGCATCAATCACTAGATGGGTTTACAGCTCAGTGTTTTTGATATTTCAGTCTGTAATTGCAGGTCGTCCCTGTGGGCAGAGCTGTATCCAACAAGCCAGATTGCTTATGATGTTTGTATTTAATAATGCATCTTTTTTTCTGTGTGTGTGTGTGTGTGTGTGTGTGTTTGCTCTACTTCAGGTTCTGTCCCCGCTGTCAGACTCCATCCTGGCGGAGAAGACAGTGGGGGTTGTGGATGATCGAGTGACCATCACTGAACTGGGCCTGCAGTTGGTCAGTGGTCTCACACTCAACCTTCAGCTCAGTACAGGAAGCAACCGAGCCATCAGTGCCACAGCAACCACACAGGAAGTGCTCAGCAATCCTAAACAGGTACTTTCAGAGTTCATGAGAGGACATTTTCCAATACACTGATAACTCGCAAATATTAGCGTAATGAAATAATTTGTGGTCTTGGTTTACATGGAAACAAATAACCTGGCAATGCAAGTAAACTGAATATACAAGACCTCAGAAAGAAATCTGTTTGTTTCCCGGTAGTGAACTCACTTAATAATTAGCATATCTAACTATGAGTAATGAAAGTTGTGGTCTATTCTTTGTACCACGCATAAATTGATTTGGCAGATCCTGGATCTTTTAATTGTGATAACCGATTTCTGGCTATTTTGGTTCTTTAAACAAGTTCAGATTGAAGTCAGATTAAAATATCTGAATGAATGATCAGATATTACTACTTGTGCTCATGTTTGTTGTGAAGGACAGATCTTTCCATCCTCATCATCATCATCATGATCATCAATGGCGGATCACCAATTGCTTAATTGCTTAAGCTTTATGACATCATTTGATCAGCCGTGTGAGCAAAACTGCATAAAATGCATGGTAAATTAAATGGTTTGCTAAAGGGTTCATATAATGCAGAACCGTTTGGAAGCCGTTTTATACAGAAATGTGTGTCAGAATAGTGTGTCAGAATACACAGCCATATCAAAGTGGTATAAACACATCAAGTCACTTTTAAATGTATATTCTAACATTAAATCAGGATACAAATCCCAGCAATTTTGAGGCCCACCACACCGTGACTTAGTATTGCGGTTATCCCCACACATTGATATTGATTGCTAGGCGGTATTATCATGTCTCAATAATAACAAGTATCATGTACACAGAACAGGATTTGCAAAAAAAAAAAAAAAAAAAAAAAAAAACAGATTTAAAGGGCCATGAAAGGCCCCTCTTTTGGTTCAAGTCTCATAATGGGGGTGTAGCACTGTGAGCAGAGGGAGGAGTGGGCCTAATAATTTTTTATATACGGATAATCATGTAAACACTATAAATGAGGAGGACTTCCTGAATGCTCGGGTCTGAATGCAGATACAGTGGATAGCAGTGCAGCAGGTCTCTTTCCCTGTCTATTCCAACCATTACCCTGCCGGAGGTTTTTAAACATAGGAGAACAGCAGCACGGATATAGGTGATGTGTCTGAATAGTAACGAACAAAACTGATAATACACATAGTCCGCCATTCTCCAATTTTAGTACAGCTGTCCCGACAAAAATGCTTGCTGCAAACCAACAGCTTTGCTGTATCACTCCTGAAAGCATGCAACAAACTCTGTGGATCAAAGAAACACATACAACCTTTTTTAACCAGCTAAATACTGCCGTGCGCGGACACAGTCTCACGCAGTCATTGGGTATCACAGCTTGGCAGGTCTGCCTTGCCTTTGGAAAGCACGTGCTCTCATAACTAATTAAAAAGTAGGGACTTCTCATGGTGTAAGGAAACTACATTATTAATAATAAGAAACTGACGCATCTTCAAACCACTAGCATTTTTGCACTACGTCACCAATTTTGATCCTTCTCCAAAAATTATTTAAAACTCACAATTGTAAACCAATTTTAAAACAATTGTTTTAAAACAATTGAAGCTGACAGGTGCTAACATTGTCTTAACTGATGCTCAATACACACAAATCTGTTAAAGTTAAAATCTCAATAAAAAAACTACTATACTTAAGGGTTTCTTGAACATTTAAAGTATCTGTGATATCCAGCTGCACCTCAAGAAATAAGCACTACACTTTAACAAAAGACTGAAAAATCGGTATGGTTTACATAATAACTGAAATCACCAGAGCTGCATATAATGTGAGTACAACTATAAATGAGGAAGCTTCCATCATGCAACAAAAGTCATGGTTTAAGGATTTCCAGTGAAATTTAAATAATATTTTTAGATATTACTATAAGTATGTTAGTCTTCAAGGATATAAATAAGCTAGTTTGAAACAAAAATGACAAAATTCATGTTTACAACATATAAAACCAATACAAACATGTAAAGCTTGTAGTTTGTTATTTACGCCTAAATGGATCAACAGTTTTTTTTTCACCTCATACTTCCGTTTCTCAAATCTATCATGCCCCTGTCTCCTTAAAGACGCTTCTCATTTGCTTTTTTTTTTAATGCTCAACTACTCTCACTCACAGAGCTGTGATAAAAACAAAATGCTATTGGCTGTTTTTAAAGGGGAGGAGCTATTTAATGCCTCACCCTCTTTTAATTTTTCAGTTGAGATTACGTCAAACATTGAATAAAAAATGCACATTTCAAAGCACTTGACTGGACCTTTAAAACGTGTTTACATAGCATGAAATATGCTAGTAGCACGACCAAGTATAATATACATAAAGAACACATGAGCTCTCTCATGATCCCTATACTGACACAGAGGAAAAAAAAAATGCTGAATAAAGTCATTATTTTCCTTTTATGTGCATACAAAAGTATTCTCGTAGATTGATAATATTCTAGTTGAACCACTGAATAGAACCTTACTGTCCATGGAGGATGAGGGAGTCCTCAGATTTAAAATATCTTAATTCATGTTCTGAAGGGTATTGCAGGACTCAGGGGATTGTAATGTTACAACATCAGCATTGAGTGACTGCATTTAGTGTGTATCACCATTACCTGTAGCTTTCGGTTTCTCTAGAGTCTGAATGTTTTAACATTTGAATTTCATACAAAGAAAAGTATGATGTATTCCTACAAAATGTATTCCTGTCAGACTCTGTTACATTCTGTCAGAAAACAGAAAACGACTCTAAACCAGGAATGGGCAAACTCAGTCCTAGAGGGCTGGTGTACTGCAGAGTTTAGCTCCAACTCCAAATCAAACTTGTCTCTATAGCTGTCTAGTGATCTTTTAAGACCTGCGCTACAAGATATCTGCTTGTGATAGAGCCTAGTAGCCAGGACTCTCCTGTATGTATACACATTTAACATAATGGAGCAAACATGAATGACAGCAAGCCCACAATTCCTGCAAAAACATAGAAAACATTATTACAAGCCTACCATTGTGAATCAAGCTAAGGTAAGCCTGTGAATCACTCTCAGAAATTCACTTTGAATGATTTTTAAATGTAAAAAGTTCTGAATTGCAGCTTTAATCTGTTGTATTTGTTATATGTCTAAAAAGTCATTAAAAACTGAAGAAATGCATTATACTTTGTATAATTGTTTGGGTCATAAAAGTATCTTTTGTGGTAAGATACATTCCTTCCTATCTTACTGCAAATCAATTGCTCTGTCTAAATGACTTAAATCTGCAGTGAGAATGTATTCCTATCATATATCACACATGCATACTTCAATAAACTGACCAGTTAATGCATTTACATGCTGGCAAAATTAATGTAAATGGCAAAAATCTAGCGGTGATGATCAGTTTATGCTTAAGCAATTGATACTTACTCTGATAAAGGAAAACTGGTTAACACATTTACATGCATTGTTGGCTTATTAAGCATAATTGGTTAAAAAAAGTGTGTAGTTAGTTGAATCAGATCCAGTGTGTGCTGTTTACTCCCACACATGCTAATAATAATAGTAATAATCTTATAAAATGCCAAGAAAGCAGAGAAAAAGTTAGTGACTTTGAGTATCTTTGAAGAAGAATCTGTAGGGGTTTTATATGCAGCGCTGTGGTGTTGTTGTTCTAAACACTGTTTTTCACCCCCGAGTAACTTCACACCTGTAATTCAGAAGATTAGCATTTTGCCCTGAGTTCTAAAACACTGTGTTTGCATTGTTAAAACAATGTGAATCTATATAATGTCACAGTGTGGTACTATGGCTAGATGCTTAGCAACCAATAGCCAATAATGTGCCTCATATATTTATGTTCTTAGGACAGTCACAGAAACCCCACGCTTTATATAAACAATCCTTTGAGTAACTGTTAGATGGTGACAGAATATGTGTCAACTGGAGTGAAGAAGAGACCGTTTCTTTCTTTTTAGTCCATTCATGAAGAAAATAAACTTGTCAAATGCACGTTGATGCCTATATCCTTTACGTACAAGGGGCATGTTCTGCATCAGTCAAAAAAATGACACTGACAGCACAAATACGCAAATGAAGTGTACAAGCAAGAGTTTAGGGTTGTATAGGGTGCATTGTCAGCATAGGAATAGGCAGGATTAACTGTTGACTCTGAATTTGGTTTACTTTTAAGGATTAAAAGTGTGAAAAACCTATTAATGCCTTACCATAACATAAGGCATCCATCTCCATCGCTGCAGAGTATCTATCTTAAGGAAGTACTTGGTTTAAGTCTAACTTAACCAATTAGAAACTTTTAATTTCCCCTTTTATAAAAACAACTGTAATAATCCGGAGCAATGCAAAATTGGCGCTGGCTTTCATGAGACAGTATATCTGAGGCAAAAAAAAAAAAAAAAAAACATGCTAACCTTCTGTATTTGATTGACTCAAGACCAAATGGGAAATTAGAAGCATCAATTTTTAGATATTTTAGGGATTTATGCTTTGCTAAAGTAAAAAAAAATTACAAATCGTTTTAAAGATAATCCTATTTATTTACTGAGCACTCATTTAGGAAGTATTGCAATTCTGTTTTGTTTTTTTTTTAGTATATGGTATTAGATTAATTTTGTATACTTGTATACCTACTTTATGCTCAAATATAAATTAAATACTTCAAAATCAGATAACAATATGAATTAGCAAATGAAAAATAATAATAATAGCAAAAAAAAAAATCTTTTGCAAAATGGTGAAATAAATTGGGCCCTTGGGTTTGCTATAACCCCAGGGCTCAATATGTTCTTGATCCGACCCTGCCAACAACCAAATCCCCTAAATCAGTTAACTCAATTAAAAACTAATTTAAAAACAAATAGTATGATAAACTTGAGTCAAACGATTGCCAGCTTTTGTTTTATAAAACATGTTTAAAGTACATCTATTTCTGTATGTTTCCTTTTATTTGAATCTGAGCATAGACTAAAACATAGGACAACGATTTTTTAAATATCTTTTTTTTTTTGC